CGTCCTGAGATGCTGTCTGGATATCCTTTGTCAAGCGATAAGTGTCCAAATAATTGTAGACTCGAAGGGCGAGAGACAAAGAGGACTACTCACGGCACCATCTTGGCTCCACCTCCTCAATGTAGTCCGTTTTCTGATGATCTCTTTTTTCCTTAGTCTATACCAATTCAGTCCCTTTCTTCCTCCCCTCCTAAGTTGTTGTTCTCATATTTTATTCCAACTTGTGTTGTGAGTTTGTGGTTAAAGTGACAAGATTGTCTTTGTTTTTGGTGTTTTCCTTCCTTTTAGCCTAATGCTATAGTTGGATATTTGCTATCCTATTCTGATTCTGTCTACCGATTTATCTCCTTACTCTGTGTTTTGTGATCCCTTTCTCCCTTTTTTCTTTTCTCAGGTATGAGGGCCTTCTTGAGGATTTCTTGTGGGGCGGGGGGGGGGGGGGTGGGTGTCTTGTGGCTACAAAGTCCCTTAGCTTTTGTTTGTCTGGTAAAGATTTAATTTTTCCCTCATATCAGATGGATATTTTTGCTGGATAGGGAATTTTTGGCTGAAGATTCTTGTCTTTAAAGTTTTGAATATGTTGTAATACTCCTAGCTTGTAAAGTTTCTGCTGAGAAATCTGCTGAAAGCCTGATAGGGGTTCCTTTGTAGGTTATTTTCTTCTGCCTTGCTTCCTTGAGTATTCTTTCTTTGTCATTCATTTTTCCAGTTTTACTAGTATATGCCTTGCAGTAGGTCTTTTTACATTGACTAATCTAGGTGATTTGGAAGCTTCCTCCACACACATTTCCCTCTCTTTCCCTAGATTTGGGAAGTTCTCTGCTATATTTTTTTGAGCACACTTTCTACTCCATTCTCCTTCTCTTCACCTTCTTGAATACTTATAATTCTTGTGTTGCATTTCCTCATTGAGTCAGATATTTCTCGGAGACTTTCTTCATTTCTTTTTAGTCTTAGTTTTCTCTCCTCCTCTGTCTGGAGCATTTCAACATGTCTGTCTTCGATTATGCTGATAGACTCCTTATGATGTCCACTTGAGCATTCAGGGAATCCATATTTTGTTTTATCTCTTCCATTGTGTCTTTCATCTCTAATATTTCTGATTGGTTCTTCTTTATAGTTTCAATCTCTTTTGTGAAGTAGCTCCTGAATTCATTGAATTGTTTCTCTACATTCTCTTGTACCTCATTGAGTTTTTTGATGATAGCTATTTTGAATTCATTGTCATTTAGCTTACATATTCCTGTGTCCTCAGGACTGAGTTCTGGGTGCTTGTCATTTTCTCTCTGGTCTGGAGATTTGATGTAGTGTCTGATGTTGGAAGGTTAGCTCTTTCTCATTCTGATATCATTCAGTTGCAGTTACAGCCTATTGCCACTGGGTGGGGGTTGAGAGCTGTGTATTCTGAGCCCTCAGCCTTCAGCCAAGATCCCAGGGGCTGGAGCCCGCTGAGCACATTGAGGGGAGGGGCACTTTCTCCTGTGTGCCCTCTGGGATTTCTTGATCAGCTCTCACTATCTGGTCTCCTGGGGTCTTGGCTTGTTGAGGTTACCCTGCATGAAAGCTCTTGCCCCGTTAAAGGGCTTCCCTCTAGGCTGCAAGAGCCCATGGGAGTCCTGGGTGAGCCCCGGAAGGAGGGACCCCTCCCCCACTCCTTCCCTCAAGGGTTCTCCTGCAACAGCAATTGCAGTCTTTAGAGGAGAGAGCGAAGTTCTCTCTTACCCCATTCCAGCTCCTCTGAGGGGGGATCCAGCCTCTCTGCCTTCCATCATGTGGCTGCGTGTCTCTCCAAGGTTTTTGTGTTGTTAGGATGTCTCCTGTTGGAGTATGGATGCCCCTTTTTGTTGTATGTTGGAGGGGAGAGAGTCCCAGGCAAGTCCACTCCGCTATGATGCTGACGTCACTGTATTTTGATTTTTCAATGAAAGTTACTAACCACAGTGCTTCATACCTATGTGCACTCTCCTACTCATAGTGTTACCGTCCTGGAGGGGCAAGAATAGAATCAAAAGAGAGCTTCCATGGTGAGTTTATGAAATGATTCCAAAAGGTTCCATTTTATACTTTTTTTCCCACACATTCCAGAAAGGTTAAAGGTACTTCCTTTGTTTGGGCCTGCCTTTCATCCCCACTCATCCTAAATTAGCAGAAGTTCCAAATTTCTTTTTTTTAATTTAAATTTTTGTTTTTATAGCAGTAACATTGGATCAGTAACATTATATAACTTACATATGTGCATCATAATATATTTCAAATTCTGTGTAGATTACCTCATGTTCACCACCCAAAGACTAATTGCTTAATTACAATGTGCTTAATCCCCTTTCCCCCTCTTCCCTCCCCCCTTCCCCTCTGGTAACCACCAGTCCAATCTCTGTTGCTATGTGTTTGTCATTGTTTTATCTTCTACTTATGAGTGACATCATATGGTATTTGACTTTCTCCCTTTGACTTATTTCACTTAGCATAATTCCCTCAAGGTCCATCTATGTTGTCAAAAATGGCCAGATTTCATCATTTCTTATGGCTGAGTAGTATTCTGTTGTGTATATATACCACATCTTCTTTATCCATTCTTGCCTTGATGGGCACCTAGGTTGCTTCCAAGTCTTGGCTATTGTGAGTAATGCTGCAATGAACATAGGGGTGCATGTATCTTTATGCATTTTTGTTTTCAAATTCTTTGGATAAATACCCAGCAGTGGAATAGCTGGATCATATGGTAGATATATTCTTAATTTTCTGAGGAAACTCCATACTGTTTTCTATAGTGGCTGTACCAGTTTACACTCCCACCAGCAGTATATGAGCAAATTTCTTAATAACTGGTGTCCTTGAATCTAGGATATTTATTTGCCAAGGTCTTGTCATTACTGGGGTGTCTGAGAGCTCTGAAAAATAAGTCTCTTTGCATCAATTCTCTACTCTAGCCAAAATTTCTTGGTTAAGGGTGATAGCTGCTAACTTTTAAATTCACAAATACATATTTTGTTTCTCCTTCACACCAGCCATTCACTCACAAGTCTGAGCCCCATTCCTCTGTTTCTTTATGTTGACATAGCATCAACCTATTATTATCATAATGATAACACAGTCACTGTTAGCAGTTTACTCATCACTATTAGTATCATGAATGTAATTAGATTGATCAAAGTATTTCCTATATGCCTTATCATACATGGACCAAGCCATGCTACTTCCACATTGGTAAATATTTATGAATGCTTCTTTGAGGTTTACATACTAAAAATCAAAGAACAGTCTTAAATGTTGTCCAGTAGAGATATGCTCTAGTCTCTCTCTTTTTTGTGGTACAACTCTTTTATATTTATTTGAACACAATTAATTCATCTGGTTATTTTAGTGTAAGGACTGAAGTAGAAAGACCACATTATTTTTTTTCCTGAATGACTACACAGTTGGCTCAATACCATTTATTGTATAGTTCCCCTTTTCCCTACTGATAGAGAATGCCATATTTATCATATACTAATTCTTAAATGTTTTATATCTATTTCTAGATTCTTTAATTTGTTCTATTGATCAAATGTCTATTCATGTGATAGCATCCCCTGGATTTTACTATGTTAGTTGCTTTTTATGTTCTAATATCTGGCAATATTCCTCTCTCATTAACTTCTTTTTCAGAATTTTCATGGCTTCTCTTTTTTAAAAAATTGAGCAATAGTTCATATACCATAAAGTTCATCCTTTTCAAATGTACAATTCATTGGTTTCTAGTATAGTTACAAGATTTTGTGACCTTGACCACTGTCTAATTGCAGAATATTTTCATCATACCAAAAAGAAACCTCATACCCATTTAATAGTCACTCCCCATTCCATACTCATACATAGCCCTTGGTAACCATTAATCTACTTTCTGTCTTTATGGATTTGCCTATTCTGGACGTTTCATATAAATGGAATCATACATTGTGTGGTCTTTTGTGACTGGCTTCTTTCACTTAGCATAATATTTTTAAGGTTCATCCATGTTGGAACATGTAGCAGGATGTCATTCCTTTTTATGACCTAATAATATTCCATTGTATGGATATACCACATTGTGTTTATCTTTTAATCAAATGATGAACATTTGGATTGTTCCCACTTTTTGGCTATTATGAATTTAGCCTCTCATTTTTAATTTATACTTTTAACTACTTAGGTGAATTAAGCTATAGTCTAATAACTGTCCTAATGATGTGGTTTTATTGCTTCCAAGTAGGAGTGTTCTTATCAAGCTAGTAGAGCTAGTGAGCATCAAAAAGAGTAATCACTATTAATGACATAACATGGGTAATTTGATGAGTATTTTCCAGGGTTTAAGTGGCCATTCATAAACCCACCAAACCAACTTGTGAGTTCACTGAACCACTTAGAGGGATGATTTGTAGATTTTAGCATGAAAAACGTCACCTGGGGTGCTTGTTAAAAATCAGAGTTACTGGCCCCACTCCAGAGACTGTGATTCAGATGGTCTTTGAACCATCCAGATCTCCGAGGTACATTTTCACCTAAGTTTCCTGCATGTAGTCCATCATAATTACAGTTAGAATCAGGCACTTCCAAAGAAACTCTACAGAACTGCTCTGGAGAAGGCTGGATGTGGCAAAAACTCCCCTAACAGGTTTCTGCTAACCTCTCTAGCATATTACATAACTCAGAACTAGGGCCACTTAGGCAAGTATGAAATCACTTGAGAAGGGCCAAACCTTTTCTTGTTTTTTGGAGTAAACACTGACACTACTGTAGGCTTCCAGAGTTATCCATCCTCATACTGAAGGGATTGGCCTCCTTCCTGGTCCCGAAGCTAAGTCTCACTTAAACCTTTCATAGATGAGTGATGCCTTTGTGCCCTAATCACATGGAGAGTGTAAGCTACTCTCTCATCCACCATGCGCACGTCCATCTATGTGCTTAATTGTGCATGTTAATTGACAGTGCAATGACCTTGTAACCATGCTGCCCCACACATTTGTCCTTTTCTCCATTAGGCCAGAGAAGGCCAGACTACCATTGTGATAGCACACTGATTGTCTACAGTCTGAAATGCAGATGTCATTGTTGGACTTGAGATGGAGTCATTGTGGAGCAAGGAAGCCACAGTGAACTGATGAGGAAGGAAGGGGTGTACTCCAAGTTTGTCAAAATGCAGGTCGCTGCTTCCCAGGAAGTTTTCCTGCTGTTTGCTCCTCAATATAGTGTTCTGTACTTTGTTACAATATCACACAGCTAATGCCATACTGAGAAATAAGTATTCAGGAAGATGCCTAAAAGTATACATCTGGGACTTTAATTCACAACGAGTGAAAGAATCTCTCAAGGCAAGGGAGGAGCAAAATAAAGGAAAATGCCAAAAACATCTTGAGCTCATTCCTTAGGACAGAGATTCTCTTTTTTTTGTGTGTGTGTGGAAAGATTTGCCCTGAGCTAGCATCTGTTACCAATCTTGCCCTTTTTTTTCCCTCTTCTCCCTGAAGCCCCAGTGCATGGTTGTGTATCCTTCTAGTTCTTCTATGTGAGCTGCTGCCACAGCATGGCAACTGACAGATGAGTGGTGTGGTTCCATGACCAGGAATGAACCTGGGCTGCCAGAGTGGTGAAAGCACAGAACTTTAACCTCTAGGCCTTTACGGCTGGATCAGGACAGAGATTCTTAATTGTCTGGGGAATGTGTTCAAACTAACAGGTCCTTTCCACCCTAAGATTAGGGCGATCAGAGTGGTGGTAGGAGTAAGAGGGCAATGCCAGGATCTCTAGTCATTGGGGGAGGTCGTAGGTGATTTAAAAATGCTTCCCAGATGATCCTAATAAAATCAATAGGAGGATTCCTGGCTCTAGGAAGCAAACAATTTGGTTTTCTTTTGAAAAAAAAATCATTCATTCTAGTTCCTAAAACAGATGATATTGATAATTATTGGTTTGTCTTATTGTTGAACAAGACACTTTATTTTGCAAATAAAATTTGCAAAATAAAGAAATCTAAAATTTTTTCTATAAGCATGATTCTTATAATATTTGTAAAAGTGTATGCATTTGCTTTGATATAACTGTAACTAATATGTATGTACATATTTTTGTTCTTTTTTCTTAACATTCCAGATATACATCATCTAGATACTATCATTTTAATGGCTACACAGCAGTCCGTTATATTAACGTATAATAGATTGCTTAGTCATTTCTCTAAAGTTGGAAACTTGGTTTGTTTCTAGTATTTCTCTTTGGGAGCATGTGTGGGTCCAAAAAAGTTAAGTAAAAAATTTGCTTTGTTCAAAAACCTCCCCCAAAATAAAAGTCCAGGACCAGATAGCTTCTCTGGAGAATGCTACTAAACATTCAAAGAAGATTTAATACCTATCCTTCTCAAACTATTCCAGAAAATTGTGGAAGATGGGGCACTTCCTAACACATTCTATGAAGCCAACACCACCCTGATCCCAAAACCAGGCAAGGACAACACAAAGAAGGAAAACTACAGGCCAATATCACCAATGAACAAAGATGCAAAAATCCTCAACAAAATTCTGGCAAACCGAATACAGCAATACATTAAAAAGATCATACACCATGATCAAGTGGGATTTATACCAGGGACACAGGGATGGTTCAACATTCACAAGCCAATCAACGTGATACACTACATTAACAAAATGAGAAACAAAACCACACAATCATCTCAATAGATGCAGAGAAATCTTTCGACAAGACCCAACATCCATTTATGCTAAAAACTCTCAGTAAAATAGGTATAGAAGGAAAGTACCTCAACATAATAACGGCCATATATGACAAACCCACGGCCAACATCATACTCAATGGGCAAAAACTGAAAGCCATCCTTCTGAGAACAGGAATAAGACAAGGTGTCCACTCTCACCACTCTTATTCAACATAGTACTGGAGGTTTTGGCCAGAGCAATTAGGCAGGAAAAAGAAATAAAAGGAATCCAAATAGGCAATGAAGAAGTGAAATTCTCACTGTTTGCAGATGACATAATCTTATACATAGAAAACCCCAAAGAATCCATAGGAAAGCTATTAGAAATAATCAACAGCTACAGCAAAGTCACAGGGTATAAAATCAACTTACACAAATCAGTAGCATTTCTATACACTAACAATGAACTAACAGAAAAAGAACTCAAGAACACAATCCCATTCACAATCCCAACAAAAAGAATAAAATACCTTGGGATAAACTTAACCAAGGAAGTGAAAGACCTATACAATGAAAACTAGAAGACTTTCCTGAAAGAAATTGATGACGACATAAAGAGATGGAAAAACATTCCATGAACATGGATTGGAAGAATAAACATAGTTAAAATGTCCATACTACCTAAAGCAAACTACAGATTCAATGCTATCCCAATCAGAATCCCAATGACATTCTTTACAGAATTAGAACAAAGAATCCTAAAACTCATATGGGGCAACAAAAGACCCCAAATTGCTGAAGTAATCCTGATAAAAAAGAACAAAGCTGGAGGCATCACAATCCCTGACTTCAAAACATACTACAAAGCTACAGTAATCAAAACAGCATGGTACTGGTACAAAAACAGGTGCACAGATCAATGGAACAGAATTGAAAGCCCAGGAATAAAACCACACATCTCTGGACAGCTAATCTTCAACAAAGGAGCTGAGGGCATACAATGGAGAAAAGAAAGTCTCTTCAACAAATGGTGCTGGGAAAACTGGAAAGCCACATGTAAAATAATGAAAATTGACAATTCTTTTCCACTATTCACAAAAATAAACTCAAAATGGATCAAAGACCTAAAAATAAAACCTGAAACCATAAGGCTTCTAGAAGGAAATATAGGCAGTACACTCTTTGACATCAGTATCAAAAAGATCCTTTTAGACACCATGTCTTCTCAGACAAAGGAAACAATAGAAAGAAGAAACAGATGGGACTTTGTCAGACTAAAGAGCTTCTTCAAGGCAAGGGAAAACAGGATTGAAACAAAAAAAAACAACCCACCAACTGGGAAAAAATATTTGCAAGTCATATATCTGACAAAGGGTTAATCTCTATACTATATAAAGAACTCACACAACTCAACAACAAAAAATCAAACAACCCAATCAAAAAATGGGCAGGGGACATGAACAGACATTTCTCCAAAGAAGATATACGGATGGCCAATGGACACATGAAAAGATGCTCATCATCAGTAATCATCAGGGAAATGCAAATCAAAACTACACTAAGATATCACCTTATAACCATTAGAATGGAAAAAATAACCAAAACAAAAAGTGACAAATGTTGGAGAGGTTGTGGAGAAAAAGAAACCCTCATACACTGCTGGTGGGAATGAAACTGGTGCAGCCACTATGGAAAACAGTATGGAGTTTTCTCAAAAAATTAAAAATAGAAATACTGTATGACCCAGCCATCCCACTACTGGGTATCTATCCAAAGAACTTGAAATCAGCAATTCCAAAAGTCCCATGCACCCCAATGTTTATTGCAGCATTATTTACAATAGCCAAGATGTGGAAGCAACCTAAGTGCCCATCAACTGATGAGTGGATAAAGAAGATATGTTATATATATACAATGGAATATTACTCAGCCATGAAAAAGGATAAAATCATCCCATTCACAAAAACATGGATGGACCTTGAGGGTATTATGTTAAGTGAAATAAGCCAGATATAGAAAGACAATCTTTGTATGACTCCACTCATAGGTGGAAGTTAAACATGTAGACAAAGAGAACAGATTAATGGTTACCAGGGGAAAGGGGGATGGGGAGTGGGCACAAAGGATGAAGGGGTACACCTACAACATAACTGACAAATAATAATGTATAACTGGAATTTCACAAGGTTGTAAACTATCATAATCTTAATAAAAAGTAAAAAAAAAATTGTTTTGTTTTCTAACATGTAACTTAACTCCTCTGAGCTTCAGTTTCCATATGTGAAATACTAAACCTACCATTTGAGGTTGTTATAAAGTTAAGAAATAAACACCAGAATATACTAAAAACCCCTTTAAAAGGGTGAATTTTATGGTAAGTGAATTATGTCTCAATAATGTTGTTATTTAATTTTTAAAAAGAAGCACCTGACACAAAATAAATGCATGAGAAATAATAGTTATTGAAATTTACAAAGTCCCCAAAATGAAAATATAAAATGAAAAGATAGAAAGTTTTATAACTCTTGCTTCAATTTGCCAGGGAATGTTTGTTCTCCAGCAGGAGGGGATTAGTCATAGTGTCTTTGTTAATGGCTTCCATATGGCTTAGCCATCATAGGTCCCTATCATTTCACTGGTTAAAAAGTATATATAATGTTACTTTAATTCACTTTTAGTTTGCATTTCATTGATGGTCACTAAGGCTCTGCGGTTTTGCCAGTGATGAGATGCTGGGTCCTCGGATGAGGTAACCACTTTCTCCCCTGGTTGGCCTATTCCTGTGCCCCTGAAAGAATGACCTTCTGCTCTCATCAAGACTTTAGGCTGGGAGATTGCCAAAGGGATACGGTCAGCTCTGACCTTTCTATATCCTATTCCCTAGGCTTTCTCTCCTAGGAAAAGTTGTACAATTAAAGACTGAACAGTGGCCTGGTGTGATAGAAAAGGCCTGTCACCAACTAAGCAATGGGTTTGGGCAAGTCATTGGCTTTTCGCGTCCTCACTTTTAAATGAGCATGGCCTGCGCTAAGATGACCAATGATGTTTCTACCAGCTCTGACATCCTATATTCTTAGGCCTTTTCAATTTCTTTGCCTTGATACTCACACATTTCCCACTTCTGATTTTGGTTTTGCCTTACCTTTTACTTGTTAGTACTGTTGGAGAGATGGAGGAAAGAGCCCCAGTGAGCCAGAGAGTTCACTAAATGCTCAAGCTAATGCTGCTTCGTTTTCCTCAATCTCCAAAGACCAACGTAATGTTAATACAACTTTTCTTGGTTTTGTTTCTAAGCAGAATGATCACTGCTTTTCTATTAGGTAGACTATTAGCTCTTAGTTGTTTCTTTTAAATGTATCTTAATTTTTTTCTGATTATAAATGTAATGCATTCTTATTTTTAAAAATCAAAGCATTTTAAAAAATCCAAACATGGCTATCTCAGAAATTTGAAAGTCTCCCATAATGCAAACCCCTGCTGATAACCACTGACAGCCATTTAGCATTTATGTTTCATCTTTGATAGCCTAAAAGAGCTAAATAATATATCCAGATTTCTTTAATTATTCATGAGATTGAGCATCTTTTCACACGTTCATTGGCCATTTGTATTTTTTCTCTGTGAAAGAATCTGTTCCTGTATTAGGCCTTTTTTCTGTTGGGTTGTTTATAATATTCTTATTGATTTATAAGGAGTCCTTGCATAAAAAGGAAATATGCTCTTGTGTGTATTAGAAATATTTTTCCTGCTTTGTTCTTTCAATTTCACTTTGTTGTTTGTTTGGCTGCCATAAAAAAGCTCTAAAATTGTATGTAATTAGATAATCATTTTTTTCTTCTGTGTCTTCAGGATTTGGGGTTGTTCTTTCTTTTTTTATTGCAGTAACATTGGATTATAACATTATATAACTTTCAGATGCACATTGTAATATATTTAGAATTCTGTGTAGATTGCATCATGTTCACCACCCAAAGACTAATTACAATCCATGGGGTTGTTCTTAGAAAGGATATTCACCCTTGTTTCCTTTCAAGATTTATTGTTTTACTTTTTTTTTCTCTTTTGAGGAAGATTAGGCCTAAGCTAACATCTGCCACCAGTCCTCCTTTTTTTGCTGAGGAAGATTGGCCCTGAGCTAACATCTGTGCCCATCTTCCTCTATTTTATATGTGGGATGCCTGCCGCAGCATGGCTTGATAAGCAGTGTGTAGGTGCACAGCCGGGATCCGAACCCGTGAAGCCCAGGCCGCTGAAGAGGAGTGCATGAACTTAATGACTGCACCAACAGGCTGGCCCCTATTGTTTTACTTTTTCCAATTAAATATTTGAGCCAGTGGAAGTATATTCAGGTATAAGAAATGAGGGATTTTGGCTTTAAATATACTTTTTACCACCTGTGAAAAGTGGTTATCTTGGCTTTGGAGCTCAGTGACCTCAGTATCCACTAAATGAGGGCTTTAAGTAAGGCACAGAAAAAAATATTATGAGAGAGAAAGAGGTAATGGTCATTTGGTCATAGGAGAAGGCTAAAATCAGAATGGGCTTAATGGAAAAACTATCCATCGAGATGGACCCCTTGATAGCATGGATGAAATTAGAAAAGGAGGAAAAGATAAGGGGAGGCATTCATAAGAGGTGGTCCAGTTTAACTTGCCATGAGCCAGATTTTTGCGGAGCCAGGCTCAAGCATGTGTTGGGGAGCTGTGGAAGATTTTTGAGCTGGGGCGTGATTTGAGCAGAGCTGCCCTTCAGGAAAATGAATCTGGTAGCAGTGTGGGAGTGGATGGAAGTCTTTAGGTTGGGTTTGGTTGAGAGATGGTATAAATAGTTCCAGTTATAAGTAACTAAGGAAGTCTACCAATCAGAACATATCTTCGTATTGTTGTTCAAGGCAATATATAAGCATATGTGCAAAATTCTGTTAGTTGTTGAAAGCACACTGGAAAGCTAGCACCAGGTAATATGCAGAGATCAAGACAGACAGGCTACTGTAGGTGCAGTTGGGCCCTAGCCATGGGATTGAGTTGGGGACAGGGCCTGAAGGAGAGGAGTAAGAACAAGACAGTACTACAAGGACTGAGGTCCTGGACAAACCATTTAGCTGTGTCCTTAGAGATGGAGGAAGCAAACATGGAACCAGACTCAAAGTTAGATTCCAACAAGGTTGTCTTGATGTTCTCTGACCCGGCATTGAGCTAGAGGTCTTTAAATTACCCCTCCATCCCGGCCCCCCTTAAGGAGAGAATTGATCCCAAAGCTGGCAATGAAGCAGAGCCTGCAGGTTGTGTCACCTGGGGTGAGGTGTGAGTCTGAGCAGGAGTGTAAGGAAGAGAGAGAATCAGTCATAAGGAAAACAGATTAATTGCCTCCTGTGGGGAGTGACTAGCTTTTCCTTGTTTGTATCTTTAAAAATGAGTCCCTGGTAGTGTTTGTATTTATTCTTCTTCCCTTTCATGGTGGTCATGATTTGTTCTGTGGATTCTTGAGTATTGAGGAAATTCCTACATACTTACTGGATGATGAAAAATTTGCCTTTTAATTTTTAAAAATACTTTTATAATCCAATTTTCATATTGTTCAAATCGAATGTCACCTTTCTGTCTTTTTTAACCTTTTTTACTTCTGTGTGTTGATACACTTCTTTACAGTTTTGCAGCTAACCTTGATTGAGAAGCTATTATGGAATCTAAAAAGTCTTGACACACGTAACATGCAAAGTGGCTTTATGGTTATAACCTTGGAGGTTATCTCCATCTGGACATACATATACATATGCATGCACACACACACACACGTGTGCACAATTTAACGTTTTGCTCTTTTTTCAGACATTAGGAGACGAGCTCCATTCAGAAGAATTTGCCCTTGAATTAAACGATGAAAAGGCTGCCGTGGGTATGGCCCCAAATGTCTGGAAATCTCGCATATTTAAGAATTCTACTCATAAAAGCCTTATGAATTCTTGAAAGTATCAAAATGGCATTAATGTGGAAACCTATGAACTTGTTGGTTGTTTTTTAATTGAATTAAATCTTTTATTGTGTGTTTTGCTGTTGAAATTCTTAGCCTTGCAAGTATATTGCAGGCAGAGGTTATTCCTACTAAGAGCTGTACTCTTTTTGAAAAAAGGAAATTTCAAAGTTTAAATGTATTTGACAATGAATTGAAATCAATTGCAATTAAAAATGGGTTTCCAATGGAAAAAATAGATGATGCTTAATATTAACATTAGATATCACATTTATCTTTGAGATCCAGAGATAAATAAGACTTGTCTAAAGGAAGAGGCCCTGATAATTGCACGTTCTATTAGGTAGGATACATTTGATTGCCTATACTAGGAAACACAGAATAACATCAATTTAAGCAAATTAAGAGTTTTTATTTCTCTTTCACATGACAAAAATCTTAGAGGTGAGAAACACAGGGCTGGAATAGTGGCTCTACAGTTACCACAGATTCAGGCTCCTTTCATCTTTATCCTCACTATCCTGGCACGGGGCTTCCATCCGCAGTGATCTAGAATGACTCTTGAAGCTCCAGCTGTTGCATCCATGTTCCAAGAAGCAGCAAGAAATGAGAGATTTTCCAGAAGTCCCACACAATACTGTTACTTATATGTCATTGGCCATAACTTAATCACTTGGCCCTACCTAACTACAAGGGAGGAGAGAAAATTGAATCTTTTTACTGTGTGCATTGCCACTCTGAATTAGATTGGAATTCTCTTACTAAGAAAAAGGGGAGACTGGCAAGAAATAGCAAAATTGTACATTCTTTAACATTTCTCACCTGAAGAGTTGGGATATTATTAATTCAAGTTAATAGAAACTTATATGGAGAAGGAATTCATTCTAAGAAAAGATATTTTCTTATTTCAAGAAATTGTTTGAGAATACATTTTGATGTTATTTATTGATAAAGCCTGAGTTTAATTTTACTCTCATGTTGGCCTGAAGCAGCTAATCATACTGAGAGTTCATTGTGTCTGTTTTTCTCTGCCCATAATATTATTTACTGCAGAAATTACAAGGGCTCTCTTAGAGGTCTTAATCTTGGTATATTTATGGAAAGAATAGCAATTATACAGTTGTGGAGCTGCATTATCGTAAGTAAGATAAACAGTTTCCCCCTTTTTGGCTTTGGAAGCATCCACTTTTCACTTCCTCATTTATCTTGAGAGTTATGCTGCTAAATCTTTAGAGTCTGGTATTTTAGAGGAGCACTTCTCTTGGAGAAATAGACAGAAAAGAGGGAGAGGCATAAAATGCCACAGTCCACAAGATTGTCATAAGTACCGTCATAGAAGGATAAACAATATGCCCAAGGAGAGGAAGAACTTTAGTCTGATTAGAGGGTCCTGAGAAGACCTATGGCGTGTGTTGAAGAGCAGCCTAAGGAAAAGGCTCCTTTATCAGGCTGGAGACCCGGACTTAAAGATAATGTTAAATAGGAGAAAAAAAACAACTAAAATACAGAGAAAATGGTTGGGTTGAAAGTCAAGGCTGAGTAGAACCTACTGCTTTGTTCTCTGTTTCGTAGTGACAGAAACATGACCTAGTAAATGACCATAAGGCTATGGGATTCCATAGGCACCTTTTGTATCTAGTTTAATATTAAACTACCTCTATAGTCAGAATATTCTCCTTTATATGACCTAATTTCTTCATGCTTGACCAGATATTGAGTTCAACATTTGCTGAGAATCTGATGTGTGCCAGGCGTTGGGCTAGTTTCTAGGGATATAAAGACATAGTCTTCACCTTAAAAAAAAAAAAAAGCTCACGTATTAGAAAAGGAGACTGTAAACAAATAGGAAAAAAATCATGGAACAAGCTAAGCTATGAAATAAAAGAAGTCTGTGCAGGAACAGCGGTAAAAGAAAAGGGGGATAATTAATTTGTTTTTGTGAGTTGGGAACATGTCACAGAAAAGGCATCACTGGGCAAGGTTCTGGGGGTGACAAGACCAGGCCCATGTTCTCAGGTTAATAATGGTATCCTACATTTGTAAGGATCTTTACCTATCTATTCATGGGCATTGTCTCTTTTGACTCCAACATCATCCCTGATTTGAGTTGGGACTTGAATTTTAAGGCATTTTGTGCCAAAATCCTGCTTCTGCTCACTCTGCTCAGGCTGGAATAGGGATGGGCTGGTCACACCATGAAGACTGTTTCTTGGGTGAACAACTCACGCTCACTTTATGCTGTGTAATCAATGGACATTGTTAACATTTTATAATATACTGTCCTACTCTAGTGGTTTGCTGTAGACTGGTCAGTCTCTGCACCTAGTGTGCAAATGCCTTGAGGACACTTTCATGTGTCCTCTTCCATGTCTACAAACTCTGCTAACTGTTGTGTTATCACCAGTGTGTCCTGATATGTATGTGTTCTAGGATGAAACTATGCCACCAGCGTCTTTTCTGAAGATCCTGAAACGGAATAAAACGGAATGGCCCTACTTTGTGGTGGGAACAGTATGTGCCATTGCCAATGGGGCACTTCAGCCAGCATTTTCTATCATATTTTCAGAGATGATAGCACTAAGTGTGAAAACGTCACTTAACAGCTTGAATTAAATCAGTTCATCATTAAATCAGTTCTCATTCCAACCTCGGCACTGGGTCCATATTGGAGTAAAGCAGCCTCAAATTAAATTAAGCCAAAGTTTTTAATTCCCTTTTGAGGAAAGCTGTGAGACAAAAGAAAAAGTAGAACCGCTCCAAGTTACAATATTAATGAAACTATAAACTGTAAAATCACTGAAGAACACATTGTAATTAGCTCCCTTGATTTGGGTGAAACTGGTGTCAGGTGATGATCCCCATCCCACGTGGAGAGGAGAGGCGCATCTCACAGGAAGGCTGGGAGCGGGTGGGGGAGGGGAGAGTTCAAGTCATAGTGTTTAAGAGGCCAAGCTCTGGGCACAGAGCAACCTCACCGCTTAATAGCTGTGCAAACTCGGGCAAGATGCTCTCCCTTGCCGTACCTGAGTTTCTTCATCTATAAAATAAACCTACCTCACAGGACGGCTGAGAATTAAAGAGATTATATAGGTAACTATATGGAAAGCATTTAAGAGTGTCTGCCTCATAGTAAATTTTCAAAAAGTTAAAACCACCACATCATTGTTTGGTAATCCTTCCAAGGCTTGGGGACTCTGAGACTAAGAAGGAAAACTCCTATTATCGAACTATTAAATTCTTTGGGGAATATTTATAGGAAGTTATCAGAGATATCTAAGGCTCAGTAAAACTCAGCATTTATATTGTATAATCTAGTCAACCTCTGACATTGTTGGAGAGACTTTTTTGTTGAAGATAAATTATTCTCCATCATGTTAAGAGTGTATTATGCTTGTGACATTGGAATTGGTCTACAATTAAGACCACAAGCCAAACAATAAATAAATTAGAAAGAACTATCTAGATGTTTTTCAATTACGAAATAAAGCAATCTCTGGCTCTCTTGCAATTCAAGAGCTGTGTGGACTGTACTTATATTTTTGGGCATCTCCTTTGTGCCAAATGCTGCTCAAGGCACTGGAGATACAGCAGGAAACAAAATAACCCACGTGCTGCCCTCAAATAGTGTACTATCTGTTGGCACAGACATACATACAACACACAGATGAAAAGGAAATATGTAATGTGTCCGGGGATAGCAAGTGTTTTAGAAGCAGGATCGGGCCATAGAGAGGCTGGAGACCGGGTGTTGTGTCACTTAACTTGGTTAGGGGAGGCTTCTCTGGGCAGAGGCCCTGTGGGGTGAGGGGTGGAGGGCAGGGGCTGGGTCAGGGAGGAATTCAGGCAGAGGGAACAGTGAGTGGAGAGGAAGAAGAACAAACACTAAAATGTGCAACCATGCACTGTGCATACGCAGTGTTTCACCCCATGTCCATAACCACAGTCCTCAGACTCATAGAGACAGAAAGAGCGGTGGTTCCCAGAGGGCTGAGGGAGGGCTGAGGGGGAGTTACTTTTTAACGGGTACAGAGTTTCAGTTGGGATGATGAAAAGGTTCTGAAGGTTGCACAACACTGTGAATGTACCTAATGCCACTGAATTGTACACTTAAAAATGGTTAAAATGGTAAACTTTATGTTATGTATTTTACCACAGTAAAAAGCCACATATTCAAAGCCTAGTTTTAAAAATGTGATGCTAAAGCCATTATTTATGGGAGGAATAAACGAGGACCGTGTAATCCAAGTGGGTATTTTAAATGTTCTTTTGTAGATTTTTGGACCAGGGGATGATGAAATAAAGCAGGAGAAGTGCAACATGTTCTCATTACTTTTTTTAGGTCTGGGAATGATTTCTTTTTTTACTTGCTTCCTTCAGGTAGGTACCTATGATTAGATCTTCTCATTGAGTCTATATTCAATTAGAGAATATAGATTATCTATTAATTAGATTTTTATTACCTACTAGTATAGATTAATTATCAACTAATCAAAGCCTAATAGAGCTTCCAAATCTCAGACTGAAATGAATTGCAAACACAACTGGCACAGGGCTCTGTTAGAGGGCAGCCTCCGTAGCAGAAGGAATTCTGACTTCCCGGTGTGCTAAATTATATTAGGTTACAGGTTTGCCCTCAGCAAACATTCATGACCAAGGAAAAAGGAGACTGGAATTCAAAGGAGAACCAGTTAAACTCAACTATTTATAAACTGGGAAAAATCAGCACAATGGCATTCTCTTTTTTTGTTATTACTCTTTACATAATATCAAGTAAATTCTCTGATCTTTTCCTCCTTAATTGATGAACTATTTGCAAGAACATGCATTATGTTGTATATAAATATTGTGGACCTGGCCAAAATGAACAGGTAAACCTTGCTCTGATTGTACTTATCTACCTAGACTTTTGCCCAATTTCTTTTGTCTCTTTAACTCAGTGAGCACCACACGGGGCTTTCCAACTCAATTCCTGAAGTCAGTAAATAATGTTTGCTAGTCATGCCTAGCATGCTTGTCTTTTATCATTGCTAAACCAATGGTAAAAGTAAGCCAAGCTTTTCCTTTAGAAATTATTGCCTTTCTAGCAGCAACTTGATCCTATCCAGCCCCAAGCACTGGTGTGTTAGGGAATGGAGCTAGTTATGTAAGTGGGTTTTGGAGGCTGCACGAACAGAGGGCTGATGGATAGAACTGTGGTGCCCACATCGGCCTTGAGCAATCTGCCGGCAAAGGAAGGAGGAGACCAGGCAGTCTGGTCCTGGACACCTGGGGCAGACTCACCCCAGGCAGCATGAGCACCCATCCTCCTGGCTTAGTATAGACTTCTGATGTGTCCTCTCCGGTATCCACTCCACCACACACCTACGACACTCAGTGTGACTGGAGGTTCCCACCCATCCCAGATGCCCGGAAGCAAGCCCAGCTGTGGACATCTGGGTTACTCTCTAGTTTGAACATGGTAGAATTAAATTAGAAAGAGGGAAATTGTTTGGCAAGGATGCTTGGGGAGGAAGAGTAGCCTAATTGTTCCCCAATGTGAGAGCAGGGGGAGCTGTGACAGGGAACCAGCAAACTCACTGGGGGCTTGATACTCCAGACAGCCTCCCCCCCTCCACACTACATGAACCAAAATGCATTCCTATGTAGACTTTTACTTCCATTTTCGACCGTTTTGTTTAAAGTATTCAGAACACACTGGAAGTTGTAATTAAATACAATATTATTCTCACTGAGATGTTGTCATTGAAAGTTTTGAAAAGGAAACCTATTTAGAATGGTTCAGAAGCCAGAACTGGACACTTTTAAGGTTTTTGGTCTTATGAGTCTGCTGCAAACTAATGATTTAGCAGTACATGAATTTTAGGTTGGGACTTTGAGTTAGTATTTGGTCATATACTTTTGTTATTTGAATAGTTGATTAACATATAAGGAATGTAAAAATCACTGTGAATACACCCACTTGTGTCAGAATACTAGTGATGATCAAAAGGAATAATGGGTTTTTTTTTCTCAACTAAGGTTTCACATTTGTGTAGCCGCCCCTGACACAGGAAGGGTTAATAATCACTGGAAAAAGCTTCCCAACAAACTATGACCCGGAGGTGAGAAGGCCGGTTAGCCAATGACGGGTAAGACCCCCTGGGGGGGCAACCTAAGCCAGGCTGCGGCTGCTCGGGGGCACAGATGGAGAAACAATATCGATATCAGGAGCAGGAGGGACCGTTGCCTAAGAGACCTTGCCTGCTCCGAGATAAAAATATAGGAGCACAGCAATAACATGATAATATCAAAACAGAGGCCAAGGGAGGGCTCCTTGAGAAATCACTAAGAATTCTTGGCATTCGCTAATTACTTCATCCAGAACACCTGTGTATGTTTAACAGATGTAAGCTATGTATATATTGAAACGCTGGTTATAATAAACTCAGAGTAGCCATCAGCCCTCTCCGCATCTATCCTGATGTGTACATTGGATTGCGACACCGACAATTTGGGAAAGCTGGTGAGATCCTCACCACAAACTTTCGGTCAATGGCTTTTAAAGCAATGCTAAGACAGGTAGGAGCGGGGCCAGCCCCGTGGCCAAGTGGTTAAGTTCGTGCACTCCGCTTCGGCAGCCCAGGGTTTCCCCAGTTTGGATCCTGGACGCAGAAAATGGCACCGCTCATCAGACCATGCTGAGGTGGTGTCCCACATAGCACACCAGAGGCACTCACAACTAGAATGTACAACTATGTCCTGGGGGGCTTTGGGGAGAAGAAGAAGAAAAAAAGAAGATTGGCAATAGATGTTAGCTCAGGTTCCAATCTTTAAAAAAAAAACACAAGTAGGAGCGTGCCCTGGAGAATGCCTTCTGTTTCATCAGCCTCTTCCTGTCGCCTGCTCTCCACAGCATTCCTGAATTGCAATTCATGTCCCGCCTCCCTCCAAGGTGTTCACGCAAGGACTGGTTAGGGCCCTGCACATTGTCCTGGTCCTTTAGTATCCAAAGACCTCTCAGGGTTTTCATGGGAGTAGGCTTAATTTAGGTAGATTTTTTGGCTTGCTTTGCAGCCATCTCTATCCATGTGGACACTACCATTTCTGGGACCTGTGTCTCTTCTCTGGATTCTCTGTAGGCCCCTGGGAGTCATTTGAGACTCCAGGATTTCCTTTAAACAAAGGAAAAGTGGTTGGTAGTATTCATGTACCACAATTGACCATACTAATTATAGGTTTTCCCAGGTGTTGGTAATTGAGTTTTGTTTCTATCTTATTTGAGCTCCGTTTTCACATTAATTCACTCAGTTATTACTACTGTATACCAGACAGTGTGCTGGTAGCTGAGACTATAAATGCATTATCTGCACTTTTGGGAAGTTCACAGTCTAGTGTAGGACACGTGGGAAAATGTGCAAACATGAATTCTCTATTTTTATAGAGAAGGCTTCAGAGGGGGCCACAATATTATCCATCCAATTGACAGGAATTGATTACATTCCTGTTCACAAAAGGGCACATAGCAGATATCATATTTTGAGCAAGTTTGAGTTTGCAAAGCTTTTCTCAATATCTTTTTTTCTCCCCCCCAACCCCCCCCCCCCCCCCCCCCCCCCCGCCGGTACATAGTTGTATATCTTAGTTGCAGATCCTTCTAGTTGTGGGATGTGGGACGCTGCCTCAACGTGGCCTGACGAGCGGTGCCATGTCCGCGCCCAGGATCCGAACCCTGGGCCGCAGCGGAGCGCGCGAACTGAACCACTCGGCCACGGAGCTGGCCCCCTTTCTCAATATCTTTTAAACTGTTGCTATATAAGGAAAATTATTTTATATTAAACTAAAAGATGCTATGGATGAGTAACAATTAAGATCATATCTAAGGTACACTCTTTTTCTTTTTCTCCCTAAAGCCCCTGTACATAGTCATATATCCTAGTTGTAAGTCCTTCAAGTTCTTGTTTGTGGGATGCCGCCACAACATGGCCTGATGAGCAGTGTGTAGGTCTGTGTGTCCAGAATCTGAACAGGCAAAACCCGGGCCGCCTGAGCGGATCACATGAATTTAACTACTACACCACTGGGCCAGCCCCTAAGATACACACTTTTAATCCTTGTTTTAAAAAAACAGAAACATGGTGAGAAACCATGCCTAGCATTTACAAGAAAGAGCCCTGTCCAGCACAGCTCCCCCGACCCTTTATGAGAGAGACACCACCACCATATCAGGGAGGAAGTGTCCATGGTACAAGTTGTGAGGCTTGGGTGCTGGAGCGCCCGCGTGCCCCTGCAACCTCACGGGAAGCAGCAGGGAGCAGAGCAGCAATCTGGAGAAGATCCCTACTCCTGCCCCCCATCAGTGGTGCTCTCCTTGTCACAGCAGAGCAGCCTGGGGGCTTCAGTCCTCATGGACTCAGGGGGCGGGGGGCTCAGGGCAGGGACCAGGGCTCTGCACTGCATGTGAGGTCTCCAGTACCTCAGTTTAGTGTAGATATTTCCTCAGCATTGAAGGTTTGGGAAGTTTCATCAGATTCTCTTTGCTTGTTTTGTTTTAATTTTGAACTAGTTTACAGCTGTATTTTGTGCCGTAGGACATGAGCTGGTTTGGAGATCATAAAAACAGTACTGGTGCACTTTCCACAAGACTTGCAACTAATGCCTCCCGAGTCCAAGGAGTGTGTAGACTGCATTCTTCTATTGTTTTTCTTTAACACGGTTTTGAATAAACATATGGTATGACTGCATCCGTTAAGCTGCCCTCAGCTGGAAATAACAGAAAACTCAACTCAAACTGGCCTAAACAATAAAGAGGAAGGGTAGACTTCAGGGTTGATTGATCCACTGGTTCAAAAATGTGATGAAGGACCCAGGTTCTCTGTCTGTGTGGCTCTGCATGGCTTTCAGTCCTCAGTGTTGGCTTCAACTTAAGGCTTGTTCCTCATGGCCACAAGATGGCTGCCAGTAGCAACTAGAGCCACAGGCTTCCTTGTTTCCCATCCAGTGAAAGAGAGCACACATCTGTACCTCCTACCTCCAAACAAACACCCTTCCCTTAAGTCTAATTCAGGCTAATCTGGGTCATGTGCCCCACCCTGAATCAAGAACCAGCTCCTGGGAATGTTGTGCTTGCCCTGACTTGGGTCCCTTCCCCCCCGGAGCTGAGATCTGTTGCTCTGAGGCTCACTGCTTCCACACAATGCAGGAGAGTGGCCAGAGTCAACTGCAGTGTCTGCTACAACAGCCCTTGATTTCTGAGCAATATAAACAGTGATTGACCTTTTATGTGCTTTATGGCAGATGGTCTCTTAGGATATGTACACTTTGCAACAGATGGTCTTGGAGTATGTAAATTTCCCTCTTACACGTTTGAAGCAGATGGTCTTTAAAATGACCAGAGTACACTGGGGTTAGTTTCCTCTTTAAACATTGCCTTCATGAAAAAGTCCATGTGCCCCACAGCCTATCCCCAAAGCAGAGCAGCCGATTACGTGGTTCTGTAATACTGAATTCATGTGGGCGGGAGAGAAATGAGAGTTGAAAGGCATAATCAAAGAAAAACCTGCCAAGCCTCATGAGTCGAGTATGGGTGTCTTGGGTTTATTGTAATCACAGGGAAAAAATGTTAGCACAGGCACAAACTCTCTCATCACTGTGACCAGGAAGCCAAAGGCTGGAGCTCATGGATTTGCAACTTAAGACACAGTTGGCTGTCTTCTTTTGCTCTTCCAGGCCACTAGGACCAAGTTGGCTTTAATTGCACAGAATACAGCTAACCTTGGAACTGGTATTATCATATCATTTATCTATGGTTGGCAGTTAACCCTTCTGTTGTTATCGATTGTTCCAATTATTGCTGTATCAGGAATTTTTGAAATGAAAACATTGGCTGGAAATGCCAAAAGAGAAAAAAGAACTGGAAACTGCTGGAAAAGTGGGTCAAATAAGGCTTCAATTCGTGTATTATTTTTAGACGTGTTTTATTTGAATTATTTATTACGGCATACAGGTTTTAATAATTGTGCTCACAACTAATAATTGTCAACACTGTGCATGAAAGTTTACTGTAATAATAATATCTATAACTTGAAAATGGGCTAATTAATGTAAAGCTTTTAGCCTGTAGAAAGCACCTAACCTGTAGTTATTACAGGGAATCTCTGAATTTCCAAAGTTCATTTTCCCTTTTACTTCATAACCCCATGCAATTGTTAAGATAAATGTCACCCCTGTTTTACAGATGAGGAGTCCTAGGGCGGAGAACATAAATGAATTGTTGAGGTAGGAATTTGCAGGTACTTAAGAGACGTTCTTTTCTTCTTGGCTGTGATTTCTACAATTAAGGTGGGCAGCCACCAGACGGCAGTAATTCTTCGATCTGTGATTCTAACTAGAAGGGCAATTGGGCAAATATGTACTTGGGCCTTACTATGTGCCAATTATTGTGCTAAGTATTTATATGCACCAACTCATTATATCCTCACAATAATCCTATGAGGCAGGTACTGTGTTACCCCAATTTTACAAATGAGGAACCTAAGAAACAAGTTAAAGCCATGGCTAGGATTATGTGTTTAAATGTGTCTAAATCTACATATAAACATTTTACTTACTAAACATTTGTTCTTATATGCACATGCGTTTAAACGTTTAAATGTAGATTACAGCCAGGAATTTTTTACTTTTGTTTACGTAAATATTATCCTTTATTGAAACATTTGGAAGTTAAGCAGATAATGAATATAAATTTTGATATAGTTTCTACAGCACCACACTTTATAAAGCCCTTTCACAAACATTCCTGGAACTGGCCTTCTCTAGGGTTATGTGACGCGGGGCAGACTGTATCTCCACCCCACAGGGAAGAAAGCATTTGGAAGCTGACTTGCTCCAGATGTGTGACACGTAAGTGGTAAAATTAGAATTCCAACCAAGCATGTTTCCACTAAACAAATTACGTGGGATGAAATCCTTTCCCCTTCTCTTAACCTGCACCAGCTGCAGTTCAGCGCAGTGTTTGTGTCATCCCTGGGTTTCTGTTAGAATGCCTCCTTCTCGTGCTCACCCTGCTTCCTCTCCTGGAGTCAGATCTGAAGGACAGTTCATGGTTCTGGGACTTGAGAAGCCCTGGGTTTCCAAAGTTCTTGAAGATCCTCTTGGCTGCTGGCTGTGGGTACTTGAGAGCACCATTTCCTTAACTTCTGTTTGTCACAATTAACTGTTGAGAAAACATCGTGTAGTCTTTGTTTCCTTTCTTCTCTGACCCTGCTGCTTTCCACATTTCAGAAGGGAAAATTGTCAGTAGATAGAATGAAGATAATATTTTCTTAGACTAGTTACATGAAAGAAAACGTCTTGAATCTAGTTAGGATGATAGAATCTTAACTCTAGTAAAAATGGCTAACACTGGAAGTTGTCAGAATTTTGTCGGGAGTAGGGCAGTAAGAATCGAGCAGTATGGCAAACACAACACAACACCTTGGATTATTAGTCTTGGCCTTGCTACTCACAGTGTGTGATCCTGGAGAAGAGCCCCAACTTCTCTGATCCTCATTTTCCACTTATATAAAATGAGAAATTGTACCAAATAATGTCCCATGTTCCTTCCAGCTAACACTCTCCCATTCTAGGGATCAGAGAATAAATAACTCAGACTGACCAGTCTGAAGTTATTTTTTTTATTGAGTTAATGATAGGTTACAATCTTGTGAAATTTCAATTGTACATTAATGTTTGTCAGTCATGTTGTAGGTGCACCACTTCACCCTTTGTGCCCACCCCCCACCCCACCTTTCCCCTGGTATCCACTAAACTGTTCTTAGTCCATAATTTTAAATTCCTCATATGAGTGGAGTCATACACAGATTATCTTTCTCTCACTGGCTTATTTCACTTAACATAATTCTCTCAAGGTCCATCCATGTTATTGCAAATGGAATGATTTTGTTCTGTTTTGCCGCTGAGTAGTATTCCATTGTATATATGTACCACATCTTCTTTATCCATTCATCTGTTGCTGGACGCTTAGGTTGCTTCCACGTCTTGGCTATTGTAAACAGTGCTGCAATAAACATTGGGGTGCATAGGACTTTTGGGATTGCTGACTTCAAGCTCTTTGGATAAATACCCAGTAGTGGAATGGCTGGATCGTATGGTAGTTCTATTTTTAATTTATTGAGGAATCTCCATACTGTTTTCCATAGTGGCTGCACCAGTTTGCATTCCCACCAGCAGTGTATGAGGGTTCCTTTTTCTCCACAACCTCTCCAGCATTTGTTGCTATTAGTTTTAGATATTTTTGTCATTCTAACGGGTGTAAGGTGATATCTTAGTGTGGTTTTGATTTGCATTTCCCTGATGATCAGCGATGATGAGCATCTTTTCATGTGCCTATTGGCCATCAGTATATCTTCTTTGGAGAAATGTCTCCAGCCCATTTTTTGATTAGGTTGTTTGATGTTTTGTGGTTGAGTTGCGAGAGTTCTTTATATATTATGGATATTAAGCCTTTGTCAGATATATGACTTGCAAATATTTTTTCCCAGTTAGTGGGTTGTTTTTTTGTTTCAATCCTGTTTTCATTTGCCTTGAAGAAGCTCTTTAATCTGATGAAGTCCCATTTGTTTATTCTTTCTATTGTTTTCCTTCTCTGAGAAGGCATGGTGTCCGAAAAGATCCTTTTAATACTGATGTCAAAGAGTGTACTGCCTATGTTTTCTTCCAGAAGCCTTATGGTTTCAGGTCTCACCTTTAGGTCTTTAATCCATTTTGAGTTTATTTTGGTGAATGGTGAAAAATAATGGTCAATTTTCATTGTTTTACATGTGGCTTTCCAGTTTTACCAGCACCATTTGTTGAAGAGACTTTCTTTTCTCCATTGTATGCCCTCAGATCCTTTGTCAAAGATAAGCTGTCCATAGATGTGTGGTTTTATTTCTGGGCTCTCAATTCTGTTCCATTGATCTGTGCACCTGTTTTTGTACCAGTACCATGCTGTTTTGATTACTGTAGCTTTGTAGTATGTTTTGAAGTCAGGGATTGTGATGCCTCCCATTTTGTTCTTTTTTCTCAGGATTGCTTTAGAAATTCTGGGTCTTTTGTTGCCCCCATATGAATTTTAGGATTCTTTGTTCTAATTCTGTAAAGAATGTCATTGGGATTCTGATTGGGATGGCGTTGAATCTGTAGATTGCTTTAGGTAGTATGGACATTTTAACTATGTTTATTCTTCCAATCCACGTACATGGAATGTCTTTCCATCTCCTTATGTCGTCATCCAATTCTCTCAGAAAGGCCTTGTAATTTTCATTATATAGGTCCTTCGCTTCCTTAGTTAAATTTACCCCAAGGTATTTTATTCTTTTTGTTGCGATTGTGAATGGTATCGTATTCTTGAGTTCTTTTTCTGTTGGTTCATTACTGGAGTATAGAAATGCTACTGATTTATGCAAATTGATTTTATACCCTGCCACTTTGCTGTAGTTGTTGATTACTTCTAACAGTTTTCCAATGGATTCTTTGGGGTTTTCTATATATAAGATCATGTCGTCTGCAAACAGCGAGAGTTTCACTTCTTCCCTCCCTATTTGGATTCCTTTTATTCCTTTTTCTTGCCTGATTGCTCTGGCCAGGACCTCCAGTACTATGTTAAATAAGAGTGGTGATAGAGGGCATCCTTGTCTCCTTCCTGTTTTCAGGGGGATGGGGCTCAGTTTTTGCCCATTGAGTATGATGTTGGCTATGGGTTTGTCGTATATGGCCTTTATTATGTTGAGGTAGTTTCCTTCTATGCCCATTTTGTTCAGAGTTTTTATCATAAATGGCTGTTGGATCTTGTCAAATGCCTTCTCTGCATCTATTGAGATGATCATGTGGTTTTTATTCCTCAGTTTGTTGATGTGGTGTATCACGTTGATTGATTTGCGGATGTTGAACCACCCCTGTGTCCCTGGTATGAATCCTACCTGATCCTGATGTATGATTCTTTTGATGAATTGCTGAATTCTGGTTGCCAAAATTTTGTTTAGAATTTTTGCATCTACGTTCATCAGTGATATTGGCCTGTAGTTCTCTTTTTTCGTGGTGTCCTTGTCAGGTTTTGGGATCAGCGTGATGTTGGCCTCATAGAAGGTGTTAGGAAGTGTTCCATCTTGCCTAATTTTTTGGAATAGCTTGAAAAGGATAGGTATTAAACCCTCTCTGAAAGTTTGGTAGAATTCCCCAGGAAAGCCATCTGGTCCTGGGGTTTTATTCTTTGGGATGTTTTTGATTGCTGTTTCAATCTCTTTCCTTGTGATTGGTCTGTTCAAATTGTCTGCCTCTTCTTGAGTGAGCTTTGGGAGATTGTAGGAGTCCAAGAATTTATCCATTTCCTCTAGGTTATCCATTCTGTTGGCATATAGTTTTTTGTAGTATTCTCTTATAATCTGTTGTATTTCTGCAGAGTCTGTTGTTATTTCTCCTCACTCATTTCTGATTTTGTTTATTTGAGCTTTCTCCCTTTTTTTCTTTGTAAGTCTGGCTAGTGGTTTGTCAATTTTATTTGTCTTCTCAACAAACCAGCTCTTTGTCTCATTGATCCTTTCTACTGCATTTTTGTTTCAATAGTATTTATTTCTGCTCTGATTTTTAGTATTTCTCTCCTTCTGCTGACTTGGGCTTCATTTGTTCTTTTTTCTCTAGTTCAGTTAGGTGTGCTTTAAGGTTGTTTATTTGGGATTTTTCTTGTTTGTTAAGATGTGCCTGTATTGCGATGAATTTTCCTCTTAATACAGCTTTTACTGTATCCCATATGAGTTGGTATGGCATGCTATCATTTTCATTTGTTTCCAGGTATTTTTTTTATTTCTTCTTTAATTTCTTCAATGATCCATTGCTTGTTCAGTAGTGTGTTGTTTAGTCTCCACATCTTTGTGCCTTTCTCAGCTTTTTTCT